TTTTCACCAGCCATTTGTTCAAATTTCTTCCAGAATTGCTACTTACCCTGAGCCACTAATGCTAAGGAATTACATTGGTGGAATTGGACTGTTCTACTTGAACTGTAATACCCCGATTTCTGATATTCAGGTTGTGAGTGCAATTTATGTTGCATAGGCATCCACAGAGAGACAGCCCAAGGGGGAAACAGTGGCATGCGTGTGAAGATGCCATCAGGCAAATGCATTTTGCTTCCTTGCCTCAGATGTCACGGTGCAAGTATGCAAGGGTGGAGTTTACGTGAGGAGCGGCTCGTACTGTGGTTCTGAGATCACCATTGATAGCTGCAGATACCACTGTGCTTATGAACAAAAGGGCACTTCATGCACAAAAAAGAGAGAGAGAGAGAAGGGTTGCTTTGAGTGATTTCCAAAAATAACACCCCAAAACTGAGTAATCAAAACTGAAGCAATAGAATATAAATCTAATATAACTAAATAACTATATGCTCACCTATTAAGTAAAAAAGGGCGAGTGACAGCAGCCCACTGTTTTCTTGGGATATTTATCTAGTTGTCCATACAGACACACACACAAAGGACAAAAGCTTTGCTGAAGGGATAAGAAAACCAAGGTGAAGGTAGATGGAACAAATCTACCATTTTGCTTTGGGGAACACGGGACTTTCAGAACTCCCTCAAGTCTGTTTCCTAATAATTTTCCTAGTAACTAGCCACATAAAGATACAGATGTAAAGAGAAACTAAGTGAACAAATGTGAAACTGAGGGCTACAGATGAGAGATTCAAACCTAGGGATTGTGCCTTTGAACAAAAGCACATATGTTCTATAGCTGGTCTTGACTCAAAAAGTCTCATCATATTCAATGCGCTGTTAAAAAGTGTCAGGCTATTAAATTCTACCAGTACCTCAAACTCACTTAAAGCCTACTGCTATCTCTACAATTTTAATCCAGAGGAGTGGTCTTATCAAATGTTTTGTATCAGTAGATTAATAGTTGCAAGATCCTGCAACGAAGCACTGCAAAGTGGAACGTTATTCAAGCATGTTTACTACTATGTACAAAAAAAAAAATCTGGCTGATTATGTCTGGGCCTAGAAAGCTAAATGGGATTGTGCTTGGGTGAAAGACCTCAAGGAAATTCCAGAGCTATAGACAAAACTGGGAAATTTAGAGGCAGTGGCAAAATACAATACTTGCCAAAAAAGCTGTACATACGTCAAATATGTCACTGAGGTTAACAGGAATTGAACCTAACTCGGTGTTCCATAACCATCCAGAAAGATCCGAGATGAGGATGAACTAGAACTCACATGTTCTTGGTGCCAGCCCAGTACCTTAATCACTATATCACAGTGGGCTCAGATTTGTAGAATTGTGGGGGTTTTTTTCTCTTACAGCAGAGCTTTAGGGTAGAATTGGAATGTAAATGAAAAAGGCTAGGTATGCTATAAGCATAGAGTTATGAATTTATATCCTTTAATTTCTGCAGCTGAAGGAGATATACATAATTCTTCTGCCTCCTGTTTTTTTCTTTAAAATAACAACCATAGGGGCTCAGGTGATGGCTTCTGGGAGACCTCTGTGGCTCCAGTTTTAAGCTGAAACATCAAATGTTTTCTCCATTTTAGAGTTTGATATCAGGTTTATTCTTGCAAACGGGACTTACCTTTCTTACCTTTGCTTTATTTCACACTGACCATTCCACATTTTTTGTTCCTTGAAAAAAAGGGGAACAAACACAAACGGACCTTCCTTCTTTCTGCAGTGATTCTTACTGGGGAGTTGATTGGGTGACAGGCTGTTTACAAGCTTGGGAGGTTTGATTCCTGTGTTATTTATGTGTCCTAGGAATGCACAGATGGTGCTGAATAGATGTCACACTTAGTTGACACAGGGGTATGATGGAACACAACGGAGAAATCTGTTTCATAGCTATCCTTGGCCCAAGCCACAAAGGACATTTAGGTTACAGTAAAATCCACTACATTTGGTTGCTTGTAGCACTGATGTTACATAATTCTTTTGACTTAACTAAGCCTATGTAAAGAAAATGGAGGCCGAAATGTGCAGTTGCAAAAAATTGGCAAACAGAATTGAGCAATGTGATGAAAACGGGAAGTGGAAGCTCTCAGATATGAAGTAGGATCAGTTGAGGATCAGCCTATAATCCATGTCCACTTGTTTTATTTGTATTGTAAAGATTTTTAAAGGTTCCTTTTCTTAGAGTTAATATTTTGCCATCTCTCCTTTTTTTCCCCCTTCACACACTTTCCCTTCGTCAATCAGATTGATTAAATTAAGTTTAACTTACATTTGATTAATGCCATGCAGTGTTGCTATTGTCTTAATACTAAAACTTTGGTGATGCTGTTCAGATGAGCTTCTAGTGTGGAAGAAAATGAGATTTGTGATTTATTTTCAATATGAACCAGAAAGAATAGTGCATTTAAGCCCTTTGATAATAGATAATGGTGTAGACCAATTAGTGCCAATCATTTTTGAGAAATTGATTCCACATAGGTAAAGATGCAGCAGGAGGCTTATTTTCTGCTTGTATTCCAAGCCTCAGCTTAGAAAAGACTTTGCTAACATCTAGATATTTTCAACTACAGTTCCTATAATTGCTTACCATTCTGCCATAGTGTGAGTCTAAAACATCTGGTGGCATGGGTACTATTCAGGTTCTGACAGGTTCTGGAGAAGTGGTAGCGGAAATTTTGAGTAGTTCGGAGAACTGGCAAATACCACCTCTGGCTGGCCCCAGAGTGGGGAGGGAATGGAGATTTTGCAATATCCTTCCCCTGCCACGACCACCAAGCCATCCCCACAGAACTGGTGGTAAAAAAAAATTGAATTCCACCACTGTCTGGTGGGCACCAGTGTGTTGACACTGGAGGAAAACGTGCCCTACTGGATGAGAGCAAAGGTTTGACTAAATCTGCATCCAGTTTGCCACAGGTGTATGTTAGATGCCATCTGGAAGCTTAGCCTTCCCAGAAACATATTTCTATCTGTAAAACAGGGTGGATAAAAATCAATGATTTTTTTTAAAAAATCAAAAAAAATCAAATTTTTTTGATTTAAATCGGATTTTTTTTTAATTTAAATTGGATTTTTTTTTTATTTCTATTGAATTTATTTTAATAAAAAACTTTTGGGGTAAAAATCTATCATAAGATAGTTTTCTATTTAAGATACATAAATAATTTAGTTTATTCAGCATGAAATGGAGCTTAGTTATGTAGCATGAGGCTGTATATTCTGCAACACTGGGACTATCGGTGAGTCAACAGTGGGTCAAAGGAGTAGCAGAGATGACAGTTGCTCTTTAAAAATTATGATTTAAATCGAGTTGATTTAAATCAAGCCTTTTTACTAGTGATTTAAATAATGATTTAAATTGTGATTTAAATCAACTTGATTTAAATCAAATCCACCCTGCTGTAAAAGAAAACCAGTACTTGCTGTAAAACCATGTGACACTCTCAGTTAAGTACAGGTAATCCTCTACTTACAACAGTTCATTTAGTAACACTTCAAAGTTACAGCAGCATTGAAAAAAGTGATTTATGATGACAATTTTTCACACGAGCATTATAGCAGACCCATGGTCATGTGATCAAAATTCATATGCTTGGTAACCAATTCATTTATGACGTTGCTGTGTAGGAGTCATGTGATCACCTTTCACAGGCAAAGTCAATGGGGAAGCCACATTCACTTAACAACCATGTTACTAACTTAACAGCTACAGAAAAGATAGATTTCATTTTCTTGAAGATACTTTATTTTGTTTTCAGGGTAATGTAGCCTTCCCTAACCTGGTGAGTGCGACCAAACCCGTTAGACAACTGCTTTAAGAAGATTAGGATAAAGGGAGTGAGGTTGAGAAGTCAAGAGCCAAACTTGTTGCAAAAAGGGGAAGTTTCTAAATTTCACCTAAGTTTTAGGTTTTATACTAAACATAAATTGCCTTTGAATCCAACTTCTAGACAACTAAAATGGTTTGTCATTGCCTTCTTCCTAGGGTTGAAAGAGTATGAGTGCCCCAAAATCATCCAGCTGGCTTTGGGCCACTAAATCTTGAATTGCATTCTACTAGTCTAGCACTTTAATTACTAGACCAAAACTGGCTCTTTTGCTTTCTTATATATAAGATTTATATAATTTTTAGTTTATATTTTTAATTAAAAGTTTAAAAGTTAATCAGCAACAGTGCTGCCAAACTTCTGATTTTAATAGAAGACAGTTTATGTAGCTCAGGGTTGAACTAAGGAATCCTTGGTGCTCTGGGCACTGATTATGATGTTATCTAGTTGGATAATGTAATATCTGCAAGCAAACAACCAAACACAGAGACCACCAAGGTCTCCATAAACTCCTGATTATTATTATTATTATTATTATATACTTTATTCATTAAACATGAAACTCAGTCAACTGAACATTCAAAAATGCATCACAAATACCCATTGACTGGTGCTAATGGTTGATACGGGTTGCTGCCAGCGTCCTAGGTATCAACCAAGTACCTTCTTAAGATGTACGATGTTCTGAGTAGCACATTTTTTTGCAGTTCCGCTGATGTTATTTCAGGAAGCTGCAATTTCTTGACGTATTTTATAAAATTCTTGGACATGGTACCAAGTGCCCAATGACAATGGAGATCACTGTTACATGTTTCATCCATAATTGCATAGTTTCGATGGCCAGGTCACAATATTTCATGATTTTTTCCAGTTGTTTTTCTTCGACTCTGGTGTCTCCTGGTACCGCGATATCAATAAATTGTACGTTTTGGTATTGTTGTTGTGTTGTGGTGTTGTGGTTGTTGTTGTTGTATTATTATTATATTATTATTATTATTATTATTATTATTATTATTATTATTATTATTATTCTGCCATAGACTAACATGGCTCTCCTCCTATAATGTCCATCTCAGCATAGTGGATCTGATATGCCAGTTACTTTTGTTCCTTTTCCATCTCTCTAGGTACCAGAATCATCTACGACCGCAAGTTTCTGTTAGATCGGCGCAATTCTCCCATGGCTCAAACCCCTCCTTGCCACCTTCCCAATATCCCAGGAGTTACCAGTCCTGGTTCTGTGACAGAAGATTCCAAAGTGGAAGTAAACAATCTGAACAATCACGATGGGAAGCCTATAATTGGTAAGAACATTTGCATTACAGCAGAACCAAAGTGCAGTGCCAGCATCAATGTCAAATACTTACTTGCAGTTGACAGTATCGATCCATCTCTCTGCCAAAAGTAGTCCTTGACTCACAACCATTTGTTTACAACAGCACTGTGAAAAAGTGACTTATTACTGATCCTCGCACTTACAATCATCGTAGCATCTCTATAGTCACATGATCAAGTGCTTGGCTACCAGCATGGGTTTATGATGGTTGCAACATCCCAGGGTTATGTGATCATCATTTGTTCCTTTCCTAGCTGATTTTCAACAAGCAGAATCAGTGGGGATAATTGGATTCGCTTAGTGACTATGTGAGTCACTTAACAGTTGCAATTATTCTCTTAACAACTGTGGCAAAAAAGGTTGTGAAATAGGGCGCAACTCACTTCACCACCTTGGAATGGAAATTCTGGTCGCAATTGTGACTGTAATGTAAATTGACAACTATCTGTTATTCTGAAGAACAAAGAGATTTTTCTGGGGGGAAAAACCATGTAGTATTACTGATCTCCTAGTTCTTTATAGCCAGAATGGGAAGTGATACAGAGCTATTCTATTTCCTGCATTGTGATATTGTTCAAATATGAGTTTTACCTTGGGATCAAGTAATTTATTTCCTGTCTGCAGATGTTTTTTTTTCTCTCTCTCTCTAATGCATTTAGAGAGCTTCTGCTTGTAGAGAACAGTGAACTGTTGCAACAATTGTATGTGGTAGGAACTAAATGATGAATTATTGCCCTTTTGCCTTCTGTGTCATAGCAATTCAGTAGCTATGAATTATTGAAAGATGTTTACCTTTTCAAAATGGTATAAAGTAGCTCAAGTGGAGATAAAGTGCACACATTTTTTGCCATACAAGTTTGGTTGTATCATTTATGAGATGGATTTGATCCATTAGAGCAGGGCTCAATTTCATTGAGGGCCGCATCAGGGCTGTGGTTGACCTCGGGAGGCCAGGTGGGCGTAGCCGACTCTGTGGGTGTGGCCAGCTTGACACCACTCACTGGGCATGGCTGACTGGGTGGGCATGGCCAGCTTGACGCCACTCCCCAAACTGCTGGCATGTTTCCTCTTGGCACTGGGTAGACTGGGCCGAAGCTACGCTGGCCCGATGTTGCTTCATCACATTGGGTAGACTGGGCCAAAGTGACGTGGGCCGGCCCCTTACATTTTTCAGGCCGGCCCTGTGGGCCAGATCTGGCCCACGGGCCTTGTGTTTGACATCTCTGCATTAGAGGAACTAGCTGAAACCCACTATAGACTATAGGAATTGAGGGGTCTTTGGTGCTCTCTGAGCTTGCTTGTATTCTTGCAGACTCATTCAGTTTCATTACCCAAACTAGGTAACATCAGCTACCACTGATGGCGTTACCAATTTGGGTAATGAAACATCTGCAAGAAAACCAAGCAAGCTCAGAGAGCACCAAAGACCACTTTTTTCAACCTTGAGCTACAAATATTCTTTATTAGTAAATAGGAATTGGACAAAAAAATTAGGTAAGTGAGGCTAATAACAATCTATACATATATTTTTTTTCTTTTATGTAGCTGGTCTCAAACAGAACTATCTTGTTGTATTTCAAGTTCAACGTTTATTTCGGTCAAAGACTAGCGTATCGCAAAGCAGTAACAAACTGTTTAGAAATAAAGGAGGAAGGCCAGATGTAAAACACAAGCTAAAACTTGAATTTAAGTGTAAAACACAAGCTAAAATTTGAATTTACACTAAAAAACGTTGGAGGTGAGAAATGTCCCAAACATTCCGTGCATGAATTTTACCATGCTCAGGTCATATGGCGTTGGGTGCTCCATGCCCAAAGTGGAATGTCTTGTGGATATATTGGCCCATATACAGAATGAAACTGGGCAGTTTTATTTTGGATATGCACCCAACATAGTGATTCCATAATGCAGCAGAAAAAAATCAAGCTAGTAGGTTTTCTTGGCAATATAGTGTGTCTATGAAGCAAACTGAGTGAGGAAAACTAGGAAAGGGAGGTTAGCTCTTTGCACAGTTGTCATGTCAGGAACCATTCTTTTGTTGTATTATTTTTTTTATCAATTAAATTTATTGGCCGCCTATCTTACCACCTGGTAAATGTGTGCTATGAAGAGACCCCACTTCAGCATCATCAGCTGAAGCGAAGGGATTAGAAAGATCAGTGGATAGGAGAGCTAGTGGAGCATGAAACCATTGCAGCAAAAAACAGGCATGCAGATCACATGGAGAAGGAATGGAGAGAAGGAAAGTTATGCACCAGGATGCATAATTCTCATTAAATCACTCACCAATGCCTTTTTTTTTTTTTCCGACCACAACCTGGAACATCAAAAAAGTTCTGAGTTTTGTTTCTCCTTAACCATGGTGGATTGAAAGCATTTCAGCAGAACTTCTAAAATATGCTGGGTGGTGTTTTTTTTTTCTTTTCCTTTTGTTTTGCTTTAGATCAAAAAACATTTTCTATTTTGGTTACATCCTCATGTGGCAGAAGGAAGCAAAGATACTGGTTGCAAGAGTCGACTCTCCTCTTACAAAGAAGCATTTAAATTAAACAGATCAAGAATAAGCAAAATACATACTTGAGAACTTAAGCATACGTATATCTCACCAAACATGCCAGGCAGATTCTTTGTAGGGTACTATTTTTAAGCCAATGATTGTGATCACCTTCTAGCTAGATTAAAATGGCATATTCCATCTGCATTTTCTAGTGGTTTTGCCTGTTCTGTTACCTTGGCCACCTACATGTGTCAGTGAGATCTGGCTCAAATGTCATTGAAAGCAAGAATTCACTGTACTCTTAGGAGACTTAAAAAAAACATAAAGTTTCTCCCCTTAAAATTTTTCTGTTGATTTGCATGTGTTCTTGTCTTTTGATCAGGTGATGATGCTCAATTTGAGATGGACATCTGATTTTCCCTGAGGGTAACCATGGAGAGACAGCAATTCCTGATCACCTGTGTACATCTGATTTTGACCATCAGGTTCAATAACTCGAAGGATGAAAGAAGAAGAAGAAGAAAAAGAAGAAGCTGCTGTTTTCACAGAATTTTCACTTCAGCTTTTGAAGTGCCAAAGGATAAGAGGACTCTCCTTGATTTCCATTAACCATACCATGCTTCCTACCCATCCCCCGCTCCTCTGCTTGCCTTACTCACTCCCTATGACTGACTTGGAGCCCATGATAAATTTATTCAGCTAAGGAGTGTCCCTTGGCTTCTCGCACTTTAGAGACAACTGTTCAAAACATGCACATGCGAGAATTTAACTTCTATCAACAATTGGATATTTATTGCAAAACACATAAGGGGCATGGAAAGGGTGGATATATGTTTGAAGTGACATGACACTGCCATTGTTCTCCTTTCCCTTAACTGCTGTTAAATTGATGTCAATTTATTAACTGGTTCCTATGTTATATCTCCTTTGACGTGCAGAATGCACTCTCTTTGATATTTCTAAATCCTGTTGCTCAACTTGTCTTTTTTAGTTAAATATACCGTTTCATGTGGGCGCTGCTGTGAGATTTTCCTAAAAGAGTATTATTGGAGTTCTTTTCTGCTTCCCCTGAAAATTTCTTTTTTAAAAAAACAGATAAATAATTTAGAATCATCACTTCATCATGCATTCATTTCACTTCGCATTTCGTCCCAATATCATTCCCCCCCCCAAAAAAATTTTTCTCCCAATTCCCCTTTTAAACCCCCCCCCCCAGTGTTAAAAGTGACACCATATCTTTTCCTAATATAATTGGGGAATATCACGCTTGATGGACTTCTATACCAGTGTTTCTTAAACTCAGCTATTTTAAGCTGTGTGGACTTCAGCTTCCAGAATTCTGGGAGTTAGTCAACACAGCTTAAAGTTGCAAAGGTTGAGAGACACTCTTCTCTACTATTTGTCTTCAGTCTTTAATTTTTTGCTGCTCAATAACATCTGGTGGGTTCTTGGCAAGCGTATCTTTGTGCCAAAAGAATTAAAGCAACCTAGTTATGCTTAACTAGGAGAACCCCCCCCCCCCCAAAAAAATGAAATTTGTGAAAAAAATCTTGGTGGACCAGGAAACCTTAAGAATAAATTAATTATTAAGATGTTAAGTGCTGATTTCATGATGTGTGACTTCAAATGAATTTGAAAGGGTGACTAATCAGAAAGATTTCACTGCATTTTTCGAACAAGACCTATTCGTTTCTTGGTTACTATCTTCTATTTCTCAAATTCATACATTATTAAATCAGTCACATTGGAGCCTATTGTAGATCCAGGGTCACTACAGAGGAAGAGTTGCTGATGATGTCACTTTATTCTGCTTATTTGGATATATTGGTCATTTCCCACCTACTGGTGACCCAACTCCCAAGTTGATTAGTTCTGGCATGAGTGAGCTTGTGCCGCTTGCCTGGAATTGTTGCAGAGAGCAAGTATGATCTCTCTCTGTAGGAATTCATAGGCAATTGAGGTCTCCTTGTGAAAAAAAACACTTACCATGAGAGAGAAAATTGGTGGATCAGTTTAATACAGCCAATGACTGCATGGCCCCTTGATACTTTGCACCGTGAGAAAGCTGCAATATTAGATTGTTTTATTGTCTAGGCCAAACTTGGTAACTTTAACACTTCATCTCCCAGGATGCCTCAGCCAAAATGGAATTCCTAAGAGTTAGAAGTCCACAAATCTTCAAAGTTGCCAAGTTTGGAGACCTCTGACCTAGGCTAATGGAATAATAAAACATCTGTCAGCATTCTGATGATGCCTGACAACATCTTTGCTTCCTCTAAAAGTATGTCACCAAAATGGAAAGCATTTTTTTTTTCAAAAGTTAATTATTTTAGGATCCACATGTAACAAAAACTACAGTGATGATAACAGGAGATGTATTTCCTTCTCTCAGGAGAGGGATTGCTGCTTAAGCCAGAGGTCTTCAAACTTGGCAGTCTGGAGAATTCTGGGAGTTGAACACAAGTCTTAAAGCTGCCAAGTTTGAAGAACTCTGTCTTAAGACAATGCTTGCTGTGACCTCGTATACATGAGCTAGGATTATATTTTAAAGATAACAAATCCACACTGAAGTTTCTGGATGTTTGCTCCCTGTCTTCAGTGGTGTTTTCCTTTGTAACTTTATTTTGAAAACAAAGCCTCTTAAGGCGAGTCTAAGCTACCATGACCCACCCAGATGTTATTAGACTGCAACTCCCACTATCTCTGGTTATTGGTCTTCCTATCTGACGCTGATGGGGGTTGGAGATCCTGCTGTTCTAAGATTCTTGCTTCTCTAAAATATTTGCCTCTGATTCCTTTAGGAAGTCTTCCAAGAGTGATTCATGTGCTACCTCAAAAACAGAATGACTGAATTGTGCTCGCTTCCCTCGTGGGGAGGTCACACCGATGTGGCAATTTTGCACATGGATTTTATTGTTCAGGCATAATTGGGAGTGGGAAGTGATAGAGCCTCAGGGAATGTGGCAACTATACTTGTTTTTAATGTAGGCTTCACTTCTAGAAGAATATCTGAGAATATGTTCGTCCTATTGGATTTTGGCCTATAAAATGACTTTAATAGAATTCGGTTCAGTTCTTGGACTCACCTGTATTTTCAAATCTGGGAAGCAACTCTGACTCTTAATTCTCTTTATAAATTGGCGACTTATCATAATTGACTAGATTTAGAAAGGGGGGGAGGGTCGTGATCTAAAATGTAGAGTATGGGGGGTTTTTGCTTCCCCTCTGCCTTTGTGGTAGCTTTGGAGGCATGTAAGAAAGACAGGATTTTTATTTTGTTTTGCCTACTGTAAAATGTGAATAATACAGAAGCAAAATTGCTTTGTAACTGTCAATGTCTCAGGAATAACCTCCTATTTGCAATGTCTCTGGGGAAGGATTGCTGCTTTCTAAGTGGGCGACAATGCTGTGACTAAGCTGCAGCTGATCAAGGGAAGAATCCCTTGGAAGTGCAGCGTAAGCGTCTGGATTTGGGCCAGGAGACTTCTAAAAACGCACTGCATGTTCAGTCATAAATCAGAACACAGGCAGACGGTTTCAGTGTTTCTGTCTGGAACCTCCCTTCATTGGCTGTACAGTTGGTGGGGAGAGGAGAGCATACAGCTTTGCTTGGCAGATTTGGGCAAAACTGAAGTTTTAATCACAAATCCCAGTTCAGCTAAGTCCAGCGAGGGAAGGAAGAGGGTAAGAATAGAGTTTGAGGGGCTGCTAACAGACCTTGTTCTCATTGTAGTATTTTTTTTAAAAGATATTTGGAACTTGGGAATTAACTAATTCTATGCTAATTTTTTCCCCTTGAAATGATTTAACTAGTAAAATACCGTTAATGGGACACTTTTTTTTTTTCATAATATCAGAGAATTCCACGAGATTTCACAAATCGGTTGCTGCTTGCAAAAAAACTGATTCCTCTGAAGTCTGTTCCATATAAACTTAGCTGAAGGAAGGAGTGTTCCAGAGGGAAGGATTGATACTGCAGGATTCTTTGTGTATTTGGATAAAACTCTCCTGGTCTGTCTCTGCTGCAGTTTTCCCCAATTTATGAAATTGAGTCAGTAAACTCGGATCTTACCGATGGTTCTGAGAAAATAATGAGTGTCATTAAGAAACAAATAATGTTCTATTTCCCTAAAACTTGGTTCAGTTGTGGCCATTTTCTTTCCCATGCCTTCTGGATTGTACCTCCCAGCCTTGTCTACGAATAAAGCTGCATTTTATCATAGAAGAAGAGAAAAAGCTATAGAGAAAAAAAGAGATTCCTTTATTGCTTTCTTCTGCAGAATTTATCCCCCTAGCACATTATAGTTCTCAGTCTCTGAGAACCTGCAGAGAAGACTTAAGACATAACAATGCTAGGCACTAAAAATGTCTGCAGCTGATCTTTATTACTTGAAACATTTCCATCCGGTAGCTGAAAGAATAGAAATAATTGCTAACCTGTTTTGCAGTCCTTCAAATTCAGAACCACAATCTCTCTTTATCAGTAAATTAGTGTTGTTGTATCTCTCTTCTAAATAGAGGCCTCCAGAGCTATATATGATCAGTTCCCCTGCTTTTTTTTTTTTTTTTGTAAAGAAACTTTAGAATAGCTGATAAATTTTAAGCTCTATTGTGAGCTAAGTGAATCCATGCCAAACATTTGAGGTAAGTAAGGCTGCAGGCTTTAGTCAATTCCTTTTTTTGCTAACGAAAAAGGAACAGATTTATTTCTGATGTAGAACACGCTTTCCTTTATTTTCTGCCCTTTTTTAAAAAACTTCATGTTGAAATACTGTATAGATGTAATCAACTGACTGAAAATTATTAATTAAAATTCATTTATCGAATCTGTCTTTGGATTTATCGAGGATTAGGCCAGCAGACAAACACATTGAGGGATATCTATGGGGGAGTAGAAAAAGTGAAGGTGATTGTGATTGAAGCTCCTTTTTAAGGTCTTGTGCATGCAGCACATTGAAAAAAGAGATGAGACTTCAGTCATAGTTACTCTCTTGACCAGTGTTGGGACTTGAAGTCCACACATCTTCAAATTGCCAAGGTTGAGACATTGATCTTGACCTTTGGAGTGACTGGCCATATTCTACCAGTAATTGTGCAAATGCTAGTAGAAAGATCAAAGAAGGATGCCTAGTCTTAAGGAAGCTGTTCTTTGCAAATAGCTTTTGCAGGTGGAAGGATTTTATGTGACATTTGCACAAAAAGATGTCAGCAATCAATGGCAGACGTTTTGTGTAGGAGATGCCATATTTTCTTTACGAAAAACTAATAATGATAAATTGGACCAGCTTGGCTATTCTGGAACCTCTCAACTTTCCAGATAGCAATCTGAGCCTGAATGACCAGAAGCTATTTACATCATTATTTTTTTTTAAAAAAAATACAGACTCCATCTAGATAGAGTGTAGTAATGGTGAAAGACACGCTGAACCAGAAGTCGCCCTCACACCAAGAGTACATATTTGAAAACATTTCACTGGAAGTACCTGGATTTCCTGCATTGGGTTGAACACTTGTGCAAAAATGTAGTAATTCACATGTGCTGAAGAATGAGTAAATGCCGAAAATGCCTCTGGTAGAAAATTAACACAAGTCTTAACTGTCATAGGTTGTTTGCAGTTCTTTGCCAATTCAGTTTAGGCTTGTTTGGCAAGAAAACCAAGCAAGGGGTTGAGTCTTTATTACTTTCCATCCCCTCAGATTATGTGAGACCATGGAATATTTGATTGGTGTTTATTTCTTTACTGTTGTGCTGAACAATGCAATTACCACACACTGTGTACTTTGTGGCAAAAAAATAAAAATAATTCTGGTCTTCCATCCTGTTAGCTATAGCATTCCGACTTGGTATGTTGATTTTTTAAAAACCCTCTTCCAGTTTAATTGTCTAGGTGTTTGATGCTGGCAGGGAAATTCAGGGAGTTGCGATCCACCTGCTGAGGTTGTCAAATGCTGGTTCTAGACTGCTTTTGATAACTGGATTATTTGTTGATTTTCGCAAAAAGAGAATGGAGGATAGGATAGACAATTGTAATTATTTGCATCAACTCTGGAAAGCAAGCCACTGGTTTCTATAATGGGAAGGACTGAAATATTTTAGGTATAGTAGGTATAGT